GGAGAACAGACCAGGGCACTATGACACTGCAGGAGCTTGGGGTAATGTGCAGGGTCTTCCTCCTTCCATACAGACACCTGCCCCACCGTGGGCAAATGCTGGCAGCTGCAGAAACTGTGTCAGACTGCTGCCTGAGCTGGTCCAGGCCCTCCTGCCTTTACATTCCTGGATGGAAGCCACCCCAGATGAAGGGCTGGAGCTTTTCTCCAGTGAGCAGTGAAACCTTTGCCCCATCCACCAGCTCCAGTCCTGTACCTGCATGCACAGAGGCCTGGGAACCCTGGCGTACCCTGGGGGTTTGCAAGAGAGCATCCATGTGAGGACAGAAGTGAATTGGGAAACTGGGATGATTTTGCTGGAGGGCAAAGACTAGAGCACAGAGAGCAGTGGACCCTGCAGCCTTCCCACCTGCCTGGAACTGCAGGCTCAGGCATGGGCTTTATAGAAAGAGCAGCACCTGTGCAAAAAGCCTAAGCTTGGTGTCCTAATGGTGCTTCGTCCTGGAAGTAAACCCAAGGCATTTGGGTGTGTTTGTCTTTTTGGTGGGGAGTCCAAAGGAGACACGCACAGGCTGCCCATGTGTCCTGCACCCCAGGGACTTGGAAAGCTGCTCCCACTGGTCCATGGGTACTTTGTGCAGCTGACATTGCCAGGGTGGGGAGGTATCTTTAGTCCAGTGCCTCCTGCAAGAAGGGATGCTGTGAGGATTGCAACCAGCATCACCTGCTTCACCTCTCACCCCCAGCCCTGGCAGGGCTGCCCATGGGTATCCTTGCTGCCCACGCAGAGATGTGCTTCATCCCTACTGACCGGTGGGGCAGAAGCTGCCTTCCAGCTCCCACCCCTGCTCTATCTGGGGCCACTTCTCTGCTTTGGTCTTCTACCAGCCATGCGCTGTGGCCCTGCCAGTGAGCTGTGGTGTTTCATCCCAGCTGAGCTATTCAGAGTGCCTTCCGTTCCTGGTGCTACAATAGCAATGTTTTACCTGACTGCTAATACATGTTCTTCCTCCCACTCTGCAAGTGCCATCTTGCCAGCAGTCCAAAGAGAGAGCTATGAGCCTCCTCTTCCACCCAAGAACATTTCTTTCTTAGCAACCTCTTCTGCCATCACTGCTCATGTAGCCAAGCCCTGACTCCTTCCTCAGAAATGGGGGTGCTCCAGGCACGATGGAGGAGGTGGCACATATCCCTCTAAGCACGAGCTGCCCTTTGCCGGCAGTTGGTGTAGGACCTCATACTTGAGGGTACTTCTGTTTGTTCTCCAGTTTCAAACAGGTTTTTTAGTAACACCGAAATCCGGCTCCACTTCCGACCTTGCAGGGTCCGCTCAGATGGCAGCCAAAGGTTGAACAGCACCATCTAGTGCGCGTCCTCCCGAAACTGCCCAGCCCGGAGAGCCGCCGGCTCTCACCCAGGCACAACTCTGCCGCTAGAAGGGTATGCCGGACGCTAACACCAAACACCATCAAACACCAGCTCTGCGTCAGGCCAGCCTTGCTTTGGGGAAGCCAGAGAGAAAAGTTAATTTGAGATGAATATTGTCAGTGCTGAAGCTGAACTAAGAGCTCTCACTGCACAAGTGATGCTGGGAGGCTTGTGGCTCACAAGCCAACCTGGCAGGGAACTAATGGTGCTACCAGAAATATCCCTTTGCAGCTCTCAGAGGTGGGAGTGAAGGGCTCACAGAGAGGCTCTGCAAATCACATCACACAAATGTTGTGTGCACAACATCAGACCGCTTGGACACAGCCCCAGATCCCTTAGAACAAAGGCTGAGAGCAGTTCCTCCATCATTAGCGGATGCTGGCTCTTCCAGGCAGAAATGAAAGCATGCACCAGGAGCTGGGAAATGTACAGCATTCCAGGCTTGCAGAGGGACCAGCTTCAGCTGCAGGCTGACACCAGTTGTGCACCAAAACACTTCTGGCATCTTGGCTGTGGCAGTTTTGAGGGGCTGTCAGGCAGGGCCACACTATGAACTGATGAAGAAGGGAGAAATGACCCGGTTTGGTTCATTTGCCTCCACCCTCTGTTGAAAGACCTTGCAGGCTGATGCCCTCCCTGCATAGCCAGGGAGGCTCAGTTGGGTTTTTCACCTGTTTGATGTCCCCAGGTAAATCTGAAAGTAGCTGATGTTGGCCCATGACAGCATGCAGGGACTAGGCTCCTCAGGGTGGGAAACAGAGGAGTAAAAGGCAGAGAAGGGGCTCCAGAAGGAGCCCATGGCTCTCACAACCCCATTCAGCCCTGCTGGAGGACCAGAAAATGGCAAGGCACTGGGAGGGAGCATCAGCGTTAGGGGAATTCACCCATTCCAGCCTACAAAGGTACAGGTGCCTGGCTGTCTTGGCTGTGCTTTCTCAGGACATGAGCACAGAGCATGCACACAGCAATGCTGCGCTGCTGGAATGGATCAGCTCTGCCTCCCCAGTATGGCTGGAGCTGCAGGTGGGACGGGAGCTGATTCCTTACCCCATGTTGTGTCCCCTGAACTGGGGAATGTGGCCGTGAGCAGCTGGGTGTGAGAGAATCCCCCAGCACTTCTCTCACTGCCCCAGGTCCAGCCCGGTCCTGGGGAGCAGTAAGCAAAGAAGGTTCCAGAGAAGGCTGGCAGCATAGGGGTGGGGGCATGCCAAGCCCCAGCACTTCAGCCACATGCACCCTGCTGCATCCAACACGCCATCCCCTCAATCCCCAACTTGCCACGGGGAAATCTAGCCCCAGTTTCTCGTGTGAACTCAGCTTAGGCCATCAAATCTTGCTGGGCCTTTCTCTGGGAGATGAAAAGCTCTCTAATACCTGATCATCTCTCACCCATGAAGCTGCTTAAGCACTGTAATCGAGGCTTCTCTAGGGCTCCTTTGAACTGGCAAAGGAGGCTGCGGTTCTCAGGCATCCCTCTGCAAAGCAGGGGTCACTTTTAACTCTTATCCACCTTCTTCCTAATTTTGCAGCATCCTTTCTGAAATGCAGATGCTGGAACCCCTTCTCCTGCAGCATCCTGGCAAGAGCATCCCCTGCTGCCTCCATGCTGTCCCTCCTGCCTTCCAAACTCAGCCCCAAGTCCCTCTTTGCCTTCCAGCAGAAGGGCCTTGTGCTCAGCAGAGGGATCCTTTCACAGCTGCTCACATTCAACCACGTTTTATTTGCCCAGAACTCAGCTTATGAGGCTTTCTACAGCTGTCTTGACCTTGTCCGTGTCTCCTGCCCCTCTCATTTCCCTGGCCCCAGCGTTTTTCTCAGCAGGGCTTTTTAATCTATTTCTAGACCATTGATGGAAACGCTGAATAGATTGGGCTTCCCATCCAAGCCCCGGACACCCACTGAGAGCACTCCCATTCTGCAGGGATTCCCCATTGATGGCTGTCGGTTTGCCAGCTCCCAGTCCCTTTAAGGTGTCTCTCTTGATGTTGTATTGTGCTAATTTTTAATCAGAATACTCTATGGATTAAGTCACATGCCTGAGCAGAGTCCAGGTCTATTATTTCTATGCCATAACCTTTATCAGCCAAACTTGTAATCTCTTCAAAGGATGACATCACAGTTTGACAAGAGCTATTTTCCAGAAACTAGGCTGATTGCATTAATTATATTCCTATCCTTTAATTCTTTACCAGCTGAATCCCACATCAGCTTTTCTATTATTATGCCCAAGATCAGTATTGCACTGCTATGTGTAAATCAGCTCCAAGCATCCTTCACATGAGAGCGCTCAAGGAGCTGCACCATCCTGCTGGTCTCAGCGCCAGGGCAGGAAGGGGAGTGCCGCTGCCCAGGATGGAATTCTGTGTATTTCAGAAAGCTGGAAAAAAGTATTGTACATTTCCAAAAGTGTTCCCTAAATGCACGGGAATAGGCACATGCAATAGAATAATTGCATCAAAACCTAGAAACCATCCTGTCAGGTCAGAAATCCCTCTGAAGTGAACTCTGGTTTTTAGAGGACTTGTTTGCATGTTTAGCTTTTGGGATGTACCCAGGAGACTGCCTGGCTCAGTCCCAGGGCGCTCTGCGTGTACCATTGCTTTCCAGGGAAGAGACAGGCTTTGCATTTCCCCATCACACCACTCTTGTTCATCCTCTGCATCTGGTAATCCACACCTTCTTCCTTCAATGTCCCTGTCACCCCAGGACAGCACTGCCGTCTCAGTGCTGGGGGTACCCTGCCTGGCCAGAAGCTCCCCACATCCCGGTAAGAGGCGCTCACCATCACCTGCCTCTGGAGTCTCCATGTTGTTGGAGCCATTTCAATCCATACAGTGCCACCTCTTGGCGAGTCCCTTTATTTCTCCCTGCTCAGAGCATCAGGACACACACGTTGGTTTCTAAGCCAGCTCTCGTTGTTGGCAGAGGCAAGAGCCGCTGGTGGCCCAGCCACCGTGCTCCTCCAACACTGGGCTCACTGGTGTGCGGTCCCTCCTCGGCAGAGCTCAGACATACCGCTCGATCCGGGACGGAGCAGTGGAGGCTGGTGATGGTTTTCAGAGTTGCTACCCCTACCCACCAAGCCGAGCCGGCTCCTCCAGGCCTTGGAGGTCTCCAGAGCGCGATCCCCTCCTGGGCCGATGCTGCCCAGTATGCTCAGGGGAGCTCTGCGGCCTCCGCCTGCCCAGAGCGAGGGAGCCCTGGGGACCCTGGAGCCGCTCAGGCTGGGGGCCCCTGCGCCGTGCCCGCACCCTCGGCCATGCGCTCGGTGCTCGAGGCCTCCTCGGGCGGGCACCTCCGTGCCCCTCCCTCCGGCCCAGCAGCGAGTGCGGGCACCAGCGCCGTAACCCCGCTGCCACCCGCCCGCCACCGCCTCCCCGCGGGTGCCCCAGCTCCGCCTCTCCCGGGCCGGGCAGGGCCTGGCCCTCTCCGCCCCCGCGGCCGGCTGTCGGCGCGGGCTGCCGGTCCCGCAGTACCGGCCGGGGGCGCGGGGGGCGCGGCTGAGCCGCTCTCCCCGGCGCTGGGAGGCAGCGGCGCAGGCGGAGCGGAGCGGTGCGGGGCTCGTTGCTGCTCTCTCGCTGTCGCCGCCACAAGCCAGCGGCCGCGGCCATGGGCGTCCCGGGCCGCCCGCTTTGTGCCGCCGCCGCCCCGCCGCCGCCCGCCGCCCCGGGCAGCCGCTGTTGAGCCGCATGGGCCGGGCCCAGCGCCGCCGCCGCCGTTGCTCCGTGCGGGTGAGTGAGTGAGCGGGGAGGCGGCCCCGAGCCCAGGCCCTGAGCCGAGGCCGCGCCGGAGGCCGCCGCCAGGCGGGAGGCGCGGGGCCGCGCCGGGCGCCGCCGAGCCGGCGCTAGGCCGCCCTGGGCGCGGGGGGGCGGGCGCCTGCCGGCGGCCACGGGCCGGGGCGCGCCGCGGAGGGTGAGCGGGTCTGGGGCAGCGGTGGCGGCGGGGCCCGCTTGCGGCGCCTCCCCCAAAGTTGCCCGGGGGGCGGCGAGGGGCCCCGCGCCGCGTCCTGTCAGCGTCGGGGCTGCCCGAGGAGCCGTGCCCCGGCCCGGTGCGTCCCGCGGGGCGGCTTGGGGCTGCGGGGGCCCGGCCGCCGCTGGCAGGGGCAGTCATGCGGGTCTCCCCGAGGGCACAGAGTGGCCGGGCGCCCCCTCGCTCCACCTCGCCGGCTCCGGTCGGCGCTCGGCCGCTTCTCGGCGGGCACCCCGCGGGGCTCCCCCCAGCCGGGGCGAGGAGCGAGCGCCGCCTCGCCGCAACAATGGCTGTGGGGCCGCTGCCCCGGGGCTTTTCCAGCGCCCAGGCAGGGGTGGCTGGGGACCTTCACCAGTGAGGTGGTGCGAGACCAGTGCTCGCCTCCGTAACCGGGGTGAAAACGACCGAAAACCGCAGCACGGTGCGAAAAGCCGCCCCGGTCTGCGGTGCCAGGGCAGTGGCAGCGTGCTCCGGGTGGCACTGACCGGGTGTGAGGGCAGCCTGGCTCAGGCGATGCTCAGCACAAGTCAGGCACTGGGGGTCTGGCTGTGCTCCTTAGCCGCTCCTGGTCTTGCGGGGGTTATTTTGCATGTGCAGGTGTAAGAGCAGGCACGGCATAGGTGGTGGTTCTTGGTTCAGCCGGGGATAGGGAGCGAGGGGAAAATGGCAGAGCATCCCAAAGACGCGTTTGTTGGGGTGAGGTGAGCTTTGAGAGGAAGGCCAAGCTAAAATGTGCCTTTTCCTAGTGTGTTTTCACGTGCGGTCGATTTAATCCAGTGCAAGGATTGCACAGGCAGCTGGTGATCTGCACTGCTCAGAGCTTCAAGGCTGATGCTGTTCTGTAAAACAAGACTTTTGCTGCTGCCTTTAAATGCTGAACTTACCCTGTCAAGCAGAAGCAGCAACACAAGAATTGCCCTTCTCTGCCTTCCCCACACCTTCCATCCTCCATATTGACTCGTTGCTCTTTAAAAACGCTGTACTTGATCAGATTTCCTTGGTGAGATGATTTTCTCATCTTCCTTTGATGACCTGAAATTTTCCCAGGCTTGCAGCATGCCGTGTTGTTAGCATAAACGAGCCTTTTCTCAATGGCCTGCCTTTGAGAAAACCGGTGCCAGAGCTGAGTTCCTGTGCTAACATGCCCATCTGAAGCAAGAATGCAGTCCAGATGCCCAAAATATTGGGGTCAGCGATGCATCTGGATTCCCCTAGAGCTAGCCGAGGCAATGCAGCATACTCTGAAACACAGAGATGTGTGAGGAATGTGGCGCCGGTATGTCACTTGAGCATACGAAAGCCACCTGTGTTTGATTAAGGTGCAGTCTTGCTTTCAGGACTAACTGCATGTTCTTTGAAAGTATTTTTCACAAGACTTAAATTCCTGTTTGTGGATGAAAAATTCCTAACCAGATAAAAACATGCTGCCTTATGGTGACCTCGTACATGTGCTGTCCAGGTAGGCTGTGCAGGGGAGTTAATGGTGGTGCAGGAGATGGTATGTGTCCTGTGGCACCGCCTGGTACCTGCATCCTGTAAAACCACTGGTGTGGGGAAATTGGCTGCTGTTTTAGTGTAGCACCAGCTGTATCGATGATGCCAAATGCTGAATGTAAAGGTTTGGGTTATTCTGTGACTGTTATCTTTAGAGTGTGCCTGGTTTGAGCCCAGTTCTGCACTCTGGAGTCACCGAGGGACTTGCCATCGATTTTGTTGAAAAAGAGGTGTTAATGCAGCAGTACAAAGCAAAATTAGTGGTTTGTAATCTTAGGGTGTATATTTACAGTGATACTCACTTATTTTTTTCTCATCTCTTTCAGCAGTACAAGTTTGTTCACCTTGGAGCTACAAATACTGTTGATTTGAGATTTGAGCTCATCCCCCACTGTTCCTGCGCAAGCAAGGACCAGAAAAATGAATATCCAGGGGAAAGGCTTTCCCTTGGACCTTGGAGGAAGCTTCACTGAAGATGCTCCAAGGCCACCGGTTCCTGGTGAGGAGGGGGAACTCGTGTCCACTGATCCAAGGCCAGTTAGCCATGGTTTCTACTCCAGTAAAAGTGACGTGGTTAGAAATGAGACATCCACGGCAACACCAAGGCGCTCCGATTTGGATTTGGGGTATGAGCCCGAGGGGAGTGCTTCGCCAACTCCACCCTACCTGAAGTGGGCCGAGTCACTGCATTCCTTGCTGGATGATCAAGACGGTATCAATCTCTTCAGGACTTTCCTGAAACAGGAGGACTGCGCGGATCTGCTGGACTTCTGGTTTGCCTGCAGTGGCTTCAGGAAGCTGGAGCCGTGCGCGTCTAATGAGGAAAAAAGACTCAAGCTGGCAAAAGCCATTTACAAAAAGTATATCCTTGACAACAACGGCATTGTGTCCCGGCAGATCAAACCAGCCACAAAAAGCTTCATCAAAGACTGTGTTGTGAAATTGCAGATTGACCCTGACATGTTTGACCAGGCCCAAACGGAGATTCAGTGCATGATAGAAGACAATACCTACCCTTTGTTCCTTAAGTCGGATATTTATTTGGAATACACAAGGACAGGTGGGGAAAGTCCAAAAATTTACAGCGATCCGAGCTCAGGGTCTGGGACAGGTAAAGGGCTACCCGGTTATCTACCAACTCTGAACGAGGATGAGGAGTGGAAGTGTGACCAAGAGGCCGAGCCCGAGGCCAGCAGGGACTCGGCACCTTCCAGCAGGCTCACGCAGAAGCTGCTCCTGGAGACGGCCACGCAGCGCGCCGCATCGGCCCGGCGCTACAGCGAGGGGAGGGAGTTCAGGTAGGTGAGCGCCGGGACAACGATCCTTCTGCAGGTGCCTCCAGGGAATGGATCCTGGAACCACTGTGGGCACCTGGGTGATGGGAGGACTTTGGGTGATAGGGAGCATCTGTATTGGTACAGGATGGCGTTGTGCAGGTGCTTTGATGGAATGCAAAGCTTCGATTGAAAGTAGTCTTTGGCTGTTCCTGTCTGATTGCCCCAAATCATCCTTGTAGCACATTCCTTACCTGGAAAAACTGCTACTGGATGTGGTGTGGAGGCCGGTAGGCTTGGTGGGCAGGGCAGAGCCATGGGCAGTCCTCCTGCATACACAGGCAGTTGAGCAAGCCACAGTTCTAGGTTGGCTATAGCCCGCACTAGCAGAAGGCCAGTGTTCAGTGACTGTAATGAAGACAAGTAAGCTTGTGGTAGAACTTTTCTGTGTAAATGCACCAGGAAATTATTATGAGGCACCACTCAAAGCTGCAGGAAGCTTGCAGGAGATACCCTCACCTCAGTAATGTTTATATGAGTGAAATGGGGTTCACAGTGCTCCCTGACAATGAAAGATTGCTTTGCACAGGAGATTCCTGGCACTGAGCTGTAGCAGTGTCAAAGTCAGAATCACCAGATCCAGTTAAAACCATTCCCTGCTGCAGTTTTTCCCTTCATCAAAGTAATTGCTGGGGGGTTTTTAACTGGAGGAGTTGCACAGTTTTGCAGCTTGTTGGTGTTTTTTTTTCTGGGTCCCCCACCCACTTCCAGCCAACATGGATTTTGCAACTTGCTGAGAGCTCAGTTAAAATTCCAGACAATTAACTTAGCAGGGAGCTCTCTGGGATCAATAAGCGTGTGTGTGTCTAACCCTTGCTGAATCAACAGAACCCCGCCAGAACACATTCCTACTTCTCTTTTTTTTCCCTTTTTTTTTTTTTTTTAATAAAATCTCCTTGTTTTAAGACCTGCTTAGGCTAAAATCTGATGCTTTGTGAAGATTACGAAATGAAGTAGCTGAACTGTCCTCTTCAAAGCTGCCTGCTTTATGAAAAGCATTTCTGTGTTTAATCTCCCTGGGCCGTCCCTTTAGGCTGGCAGCTGGAAACACATCCCGCCCCGCACAAGGTCTCGGCGCCTTTCAGCTGGCGAAATGTTTTTGGTTTGATTCTTGTTTCCTTACAGATTTTGGGGAGGGGATGTTGCATGTGAAGCCCTTGAGGGGGGGGGGGGGGGAGGGGGAATTCATGTGGACTCCTGCTGTTTTAATCAGGAGTCCGGAAAAAAATATCCCAGTGTCTTGGGACTTTCCCGTGGAGTTAATAAAAACCTTGAATGTTTCTTGAAATGTGTTTTCACTGAGCACTTGGGTACTCACCGTAAGTGAAGGATTAGAAAAATCTATGTTTTAGGTACCTTTATTTAAAGGCTAATGGCTTTAAGATTGAAAATACCTCATTTGAGGTTCAGCTGTGTTTAGTTTCCTTACTAGAGCAGGTAGCAAAAACCTGCATGCAGTGCATGCAGCACTGCGCTTCTCAGCTCCAGCTTCAGACAAAAATGCACTGTACCCATTATCTGAATGTATGAGTGCCAGATTTTAAAATGATTTAAGAAATGTGCTGTGGAGTAGAAGCGTTCTGGAGTAGAGTTCCACATTCTTGAGCATTTTCATACCAGATTGCAACAACATGAAATAAATCTTTACCTGGAGGATGGAGGTCATTAAAAATGCGTGGCTATTAATTTGTAGTGTCCAACAGCCTGTCATTGTGGCTACTGACACTCCATTGACCTGTGGGGTTGGGAGGCACAGAAATGTTTGCCATTCGCACCAGAGTAGGAGTCAGCCTTCAGAGCATTGCCATGGAAGATGCTGCTGAACTGCCCAATCCTGCATTTTTTACTCTAAAAAAAATCTGCTGAGGTACTAATTTATGAGGTGATTGTTCCTCTTTGTGCAAGATCTTGTGGTTGAATTTACTTACTTTATGGACATTGTATAGCAATAACTGTCTTGAATAAGCTGTTTTTTTAAGCTGTAGCATCTTTACCCTGCAGACTTTTTTGTTCATTTACTTCCTCACCTGTGGAACTGTGCTGGAAGCTGGTGGAGCTGCTTGCAGCAAGAGGCCATAGCTGCGTGCAGCAGTTGAAAGGCTGGGGCCCAATTTAGTTTGAAAATCTCCACAAATCTTTTCTTTTTTGCATATGTGTGGAAGAATTTCTTATTTCTGTTCTTGAGAGAATGTTGAAATAAGCTGTTTCGCATTATATCTGAGGGCCTGTGTAATCTTCCCAAGATTGAACTCTTATTCCTTGGCTTCCATGGAAACGCTAAATAAAGAGGAATCGGAGCAAATGCAACAGAAGTATTTGTCTGGTAGCAAATGAGCATCTTGAATCAGCTCCAAATTTTTTTGCATCAGAAATTTCATAAATCTTGATGCGGTAGCTCTGCTCTTGGAGAAAAGACATGCAAATTCCTCAAACAGCAGAAGACAACTCATTATTAGCACTGATATTTGAAGGTGTGCAAGTACGCATGTGTGTTTGAGAATATCCTGGAGCCACAAGCATCGCCATTACCCACTGTGGTTTTGTATGTGTAGGAAAAGGCCAATAGTCATTATAGTTAGGCTCCTGCAAATTAATTGGACATTGGTTATGGATCAGTGAACTTCAAAGAGGGTAACCCCCGAAGATCTCAGGCATTAACTCCCAGCTTCCGAAAGTGACACTAACGTGGTTGTGAGAGAGGCTAAATCGTTCATTAACCTTCTTCTGACACACCAGGATGGTGTTCCTCAGATCCCAAGAGCAGGAATTAAACCTGTGCCTGAGAATCACCTTGCAGCCTGGTTTTCAAGCGCTCCAGGAAAACACATGTATCTTAAAAAGATGGAGATTTGGTGTTGGTGGTGAAATGTCTTAAAGTCATGTCTTTAGTCAGGGTGGGTTTCTTCTGCAGTCTCTTCAGCTCTGAGTTGAAACAGGCTCTTCTCTGACTCCCAGAGCGTTGGAGAGTAGTGCTCACAGCTGTTGCCTTTGCTTTCTTCCCTGGTGGGACATGAGAAGAGCATATGATGTTACCTGTAAGCAACTGTGCCTTCATCTCTTCTGAAAGCTAACCTAACTGGGAGATTTGGGTTAGTTTGGAGGTTTGACCAGTGTCATGAAGCACACAACATGCTGAAAAGGAAACCTGAATGATGAGAGGACATGCAGTGGTGGGTGAAGTCTCCAGTTGTAGTGTATTGACAAGTGTTGCGGTGGAGCTAAGCATGGATGGAGAAATTTCTCAGCTGGGGCTTTGATATACACATGGTTTGTTGTTTGTTGGGTTTTTTTAAAAGGGAGCTGACTACATGATTCAGGCTTGAATTTCCACAGTGCTAAGCTGACTAAGCTCATGGCGTTTCACAAGTGTTGGTGGTTCAAGTAAAAAGATGGGCAATGTGATTCTCCACCAGAGCCAGCAGAAATCATCAGGAGGGTCCTTGTGCTTGTGTCCACCTATTGGCAACCTCTCTTGACACGTGTGAGGGCAGCTCTCCCCAAAACATACAACCAGCAATCTTTCATAACAGGGTGTACAGGGAAAGCAAGGGGAGAAAAGCTGAAGGAGCTTTGGAGGGATGTGACAACCCCTGGTCTGAGGCGATGCAGTGATGAGCTGTAACATGGAGAGGAACGGTGTAGGCTGGTTCAGGGAAGATGTAGGATCTCTCTGCTGCTTAGGCAAGCATAAATGGTCCAGCGGTCAAAAGCTGGGCCTGCGTCAGGAAGGTGAAATTTAACTGGGAGACCTAATTGCGAGGTTTGGTGCTTTGCTTGTAATTAAATATTAAATTGCACACTTCTGACTCAAGACTGTGTGGTGAAGGAAGAGGTGTTAATTGTACCAAACGGGTGGAAGACTGGGGATGCAAAATCAAAAGCGCTGGTGCAGATGTCTGTGCTTAGAAAGTTTAGACATATGTTACTGTCTTACTGATGCTTCTTTTAACTGGAGAGACAGCACGTGCATCTTAGAGTTAGGCTGCTGGAGCTTCATGAGAGCTTGTTTGCTGGAAAAAAGCAGCTACTGAATATTATACCCATATGTAATGGTGGAAAGAAAGTTAACTTGAATTAAAATTGCTGAACCCATAACATTACTTGTAATTGTTACATGATTTGAGGTCTGTACAGAGCAGCAGCTATTTCCAGTTTTAAAGAAAATAAATTATGGAAGAATAGGTTTGGTTCTGCATTGTTCTTGAGAGAAGTTAATCTAATGGGAAGGTGGGGTCTGATGCTAACAGCACTATGTGGTAATTTAGTGACCAGAGTACTGTAAGATATACAAGGCAAAGACTGATGGTGTTTTTGCACAGAAGTTATGCCAGCTTTTTTAAATACGTTGTTAAGCTGATGAAACTTCTGCATGGAAATGCTTATATTAACAGTGTAAAGTATTTATACTGGTGGTTGCCAAGTTTTAAAATGGATTTTATTTAAAGAATGGCTTTTGTGCCCGTAGCTTTGCCTCTACACAAATCTAGGTGAAATGGTGCTGTATTTGTTGTTTGGTTATGGATCAGTGCTTTGGCTTCCTTTGAAAGACAGGTAGTTAAGCTTTTAGCACTCTTGTTTGATAAATGAATAGCTTCTCCCCTTCTCCAGCAAACAGCTACCTTATTGTGTTGTGATTGGGTTCTATTTGGGATACAGAATCTTTTCTCTTAAAAGCATGAAAGGGGGGGTTGTATCTCCCCCTTTCTGATGCTGAGGAGATTCTGGTTGGACACACCAGGAAACAAATCTTCCTGAGGGGCACAATGTACCCCAGGAACCAAGTCACCATCTTTGGAGGGCTTCATGGCTGGTTTGGCCGTGGTCCTATTTTGATAGGATACAAATGATAGGATACAATGATAGCACGAATAATGAAGCGCTATATTTTGAGGACCAGGTTGGAAGTTGGAATGGTTTGGGTTCTAAACAGATCCCAGGATACTGAGAAGTGCACCCCAGATGCC